ACAAAAAAAAACAAAAAAACAAACACCACTAAAAATTGTAAAGGGGAAAGGGTTGAGTAGGACAGGACAGATGTAAATGAAGAAGTAGAAATTGAATATGGCAGGTTTAGGGGACAGAAAACTTAGGCCAAGAATCACTGTGTTTTTCTAAGTTGTGGTAAACAAAAGAAAATCCAATAGATGATTTTCAGGACAATATAAAGAATGTAGGCTTTTTATGCTACAGCTAGAAAAGCCATTGAAGGTTTTTATATGATTAAAATGGTCTTCAGAAAGATTAATGTGGACATGGCATTTGAGATGTTGCAGAGGGAAACTAGGAGTAAGGATGAAAAACGTGAAGGCTAAGACGGCAGCATCAGGAATACTATTATGAATTCTTTAGTGTCTACTACGCTTCAGACACTAAGAGCTCTACATGCATTATTCCATTTATACCTCTCAAGAACACTTTAAATAGGCCGGCGCCGTGGCTCACTAGGCCTGCAGCGCTGGCACCCCGGGTTCTAGTCCCAGTTGGGGCACTGGTTCTGTCCCGGTTGCTCCTCTTCCAGTCCAGCTCTCTGCTGTGGCCCGGGAGTGCAGTGGAGGATGGCCTAAGTGCTTGGGCCCTGCACCCACGTGGGACACCAGGAGGAAGCACCGGGCTCCTGGCTTCAGATTGGCGCAGCACACCAGCTGTAGCAGCCATTTTGGGGGTGAACCAACGGAAGGAAGACCTTTCTCTCTGTCTCTGTCTCTGACTGTCTAACTCTGCCTGTTAAAAAAAAAAAAAAAAAAACTTGAAATAAGTACTAGGTAGACGTAAGGGTAAAATACTTAGTAGAATTAAGCAACTTGCCCAAATCTATATGATGTTCTTAAAAAAAAAAAAACCTCTTATTTTGGGGGCTGGCACTGTGGCGCAGAGGGTTAAAGCCCCAGCCTGCAGTGCCAGCATCCCATATGGGCACTGGTTAAAGTCCTGGCTGCTCCACTTTCAATCTAGGCCTCTGCTGTGGCCTGGGAAAGCAGTAGAACATGGCCCAAGTCCTTGGGCCTCTGTACTGGTGTGGAAGACCCGGAGGAAGCTCCTGGTTCCTGGCTTTCAGATCAGCTTAGCTTTGGCTGTTGTGGTCATCTGGGGGGTGAACCAGCGGATGGAAGACTCTCTCTCTCTCTCTCTGGCTCTACCTCTCTGTAACTCTCTTTCAAATAAATAAAAGTAAAAATAAAAATAAATAAAAGCTCTTATTTGAAAGACACTTTCTAAATGCCCACAACAGCCAGACTTTGTGACTACAGAAGCAGCATGAGAGGAATGGTGTTCTAGAAATTAAAAAATAGTTACCATTTAGGGGTGGGCATTATTGCACCGCAGGTAAAGCTGAAGCTTGGGACACTTGCATCCCAATAACAGAGCACCGATTCAAGTTCTGGCTACTCTGCTTCTGATCTAGCTCTCAAATGTGCCTGGAAAGCACCAGATGGTGGCTCAAGTGTTTGACTCTGCCATCCACGTGGGAGACCCAGATGGAGTTCTTGGCTCCTGGCTTTAGCCTAGCGGAGTCCTGCTGTGGTATCTGGGAGTGAATCAGTGGGTGGAAGATCTCTTTCTTTCCCCCCCCTCTGTCACTCTGTCTTTAAGATATAAAAATAGGGGCTGGCGCTGTGGCACAGTGGGTTAAAGCCCCAGCCTGCAGTGCTGGCATCCCATATGGGTGCCGGTTTGTGTCCCGGATGCTCTTCTTCCAATCCAGCTTTCTGCTGTGGCCTGGGAAAGCAGTAGGAGATGGCCCAACACCTTGGGCCCCTGCACCTGCGTGGGAGACCTGGAGGAAGCTCCTGGCTCCTGGCTTTGGATCAGCTCAGCTCTGGCCATTGTGATCATTTGGGGAGTGAACCAGTGGAATGGAAGACCTCTCTCTTTCTCTCTCTGGCTCTACTTCTCTCTGTAACTCCTCTTTCAAAATAAATAAAAAGTAATTCTTTTAAAAAAGATATAAAAATAAATAAATCTAAAAAAAATAGCTGGGCTAGCACTGTGGTGCAATAGGTTACTCCTCAGCCTGTGGCGCCGGCATCCCATATGGGCGTCAGTTCTAGTCCCAGCTGCTCCTCTAACGATCCAGCTCTCTGCTGTGGCCTGGGAAAGCAGTAGAGGCTGACCCAAGTGCTTGAGCCCCTGCACCTGTGTGGGAGACCCAGAGGAAGATCCTGGCTCCTGGCTTCGGATCAGCACAGCTCCGGCTGTTGCGGCCATTTGGGGAATGAAGCAGCAGATGGAAGACCTCTCTGTCTTTTTCTCTCTGTATCCCTGCCTTTCAAATAACAAAATCTAAAAAAAAAAAAAAAAAAAAAAAAAAAAGCTACCACTCATGGAGCACCTATCACACATCAGGCCTTTAATTGTATTAGATGCTTGATCTTGATCTATTTTCTCTATAATCCTCACCCTTTATGGAGACTCAGATGTAGTGGAACTTGAAATTAGTTACCAGAGAAATGTGTTGGATGCTTGAGCAGTGAACAAACCAAGCACTCAACTACAGTTGCTCCCTATGGTAGAATACCTTTCTCTCCTAGAAGAGAGCTCACTGGTGAGTACAGTGCTGACAGACTGGAGAGGAAGCCAGCCAGCCATGTTCAGCATCATTTTAGAACTATAACTCAATTCTTATTATTTTATTTTTAAAGATTTATTTATTTCAAAGGCAGAATTACAGAGAGAGAGAGAGAGAGAGAGAGAGAGAGAAAGTCATCCATCCACTGGTTCATTTCCCAAGCAGCTGCAACGACCCAGGCTGGGCCAGGCTGATGTCAGGAGCCACAATTTTCTTCCAGGGCTCCCACATTGGTGCAGGGGCCCAAGGACTTGGGCCATCCTCTGATGCTTTCCCAGGTGCATCAGCAGGGAGCTGGATGGGAAGAGCAGCCAGGACTGTGGTGCCCATGTGGGATACCAGTGCTGCAGGTGGCGGCCTAACCCACTGTACCACAATGCAGCCCCTCAACTCTTATCTTGAACATGGAGTTTGTAGGTGGTCCAAAAACACTAACAGTTGAGGGAAACTGATGGAGGAGTAAATGTTTTTTGAATATCTGCTGATCTGGGGCACTAAGAACACATTCCTCTTAAGTGTTGGGAAAAATTAAAAAAATTTGGAGGGGCCAGCATGTGGCACAGCAGGTTAAGGTTCTGCCTGCAATGCCAGCATCCCATATAAGTGCTGCTTCTAGTCCAGGCTGCTCCACTTCTGATCCAGCTCCCTGCTACATGTGCCTGGGAAAGTAGTGGAAGATGGCTGAAGTAACTGGGCCCTGCCACCCATGTGGGAGTTCCAGATGAAGTTCCTGGCTCCTGGCCCAGCCCTGGCCATTGCGGCCATTTGGGGAGTGAACCAGCAGATGCAAGATCAATCTCTCTGTCTCACCTCTCTCTAACTCTCCCTCCCTATCAAATAAGTAAATATATCTTTTTTATTTAAAGTGCTCTTCAAAAGAGTAACATCATTACTTTATCAATTAGATTGATATAAAATGAAGCTCCTGTAAAATTCTCTATTTTCAAAAAAGTTGTTAAAATATAGTGTGGTGGGGCTGGTGCCATGACGCAGTAGGTTAATCCTCCGCCTGCAGTGCTGGCATCCCATATGGGCACCAGTTCTAGTCCTGGTTGCTCCACTTCCAATCCAGCTCTCTGCTGACCTGGGAAAGCCGTGGAAGAAGGCCCAAGTCCTTGTGCATCTACACCCGCATGGGAGACCCAGAGGAAGCTCCTGGCTTCGGATTGGCGCAGCTATGGCTGTTGTGGCCATCTGGGAAGTCTCTCCCTCCCACTGTCTGTAACTCTACCTCTCAAATAAAATAAATAAAATCTTTAAAAAATTTAAAAAAAAAAATAAAATGTAAGTGGTTTGCACAGAACATGTCCCCACAGGAAACTTGTGGATAAAACTTAAGTACAAAGTAGCTTTTTTTTTTTTTTTTTGGCCAGGCAGAGTTAGACAGTGAGAGAGAGAGAGACAGAGAGTTATAGACAGTGAGAGACAGACAGAAAGGTCTTCCTTCCATTGGTTCACTCCCCTAATGGCCACCACGGCCGGCGTTGCACTGATCCGAAGCCAGGAGCCAGGTGCTTCCTCCTGGTGTCCCATGTGGGTGCAGGGCCCAAGCACTTGGGCCATCCTCCACTGCACTCCCGGGCCACAGCAGAGAGCTGGACTGGAAGAGGAGCAGCCCGGACTAGTACCTGGCACCCCAACCAGAACTAGAACCTGGGGTGCCGGCACCACAGGCGGAGGACCAGCCAAGTGAGCCACAGCGCCGGCCCAAAATAGATTTTTTAAAAGATGTATTTATATGAAAAACCCAGTGACAGAGAGGGAGAAACAGGCAAGAAAGGGGTGAGATGCGGCTCACTAGGCTAAAGCTAAGAAGCCAGGAACTTCATCCCGGTCTCCCACAGTCTCCCATGTGGGTGGCAGAGCCCAAGTACTTACTGCATCAGCTGCTGCTTCCCAGGACTGCGTTAGCAGCACGGTGGATCAGAAGCAGAGCAGCAGGCACTCCAACCAGCTAAGTGCCCCAAGCACCAGCTTCGGCACAAGCCCCTAGGTATGCGATACTTACCTCTGTGGTAAAAAAAAAATGTATAACAGAGCAACGCCCAAGAACCCAGGTCAGATCTCCTGGTCTATTACCTGTGTGATCTCTGGAAAATTCTTGGGACTCTGTGTGCCTTAGAATCCCTCCTCTACAGTGGGGACAGAGGCATCTACCTCAAAGGGTTGCAGGATGAGTGCCGCAGAGGACCTAGCAACTGTCCAATATACACTACTATAACATCACACCTTCGAATAGTCTGTAAGACCTGGGCAGAAGTCCTCAATAAATCCCTACTGTTCCTCTCCCCCATTCTTCTCTGTGCTCTCTACGCCTAAGAAGCCAAGTATCTGTGGCCTTGAAATGAGTTAACATAGTAACTGGTGGGCGGAAAAAAGCCAGGAAGAGTTAAAATGCCATTCTTGCTGTTCCCTTTTAATTAGAAAATCCTAAAAAGGCATACGCCCTTGGCTGTTACCTAACAATCAACTAGTAAGAGAAAGACAGTGAAGCAGTAAACTTAAACTTGAAGAGTTCTATCCACCAGCATGGATTCTTTCCCCCTTAGGACCTCGGCTACAGTTGGAGTCGGAGAAAATACTCTGCACAGGTCCTTCGGCTATCCTGCAGAAAATGAGACAAAAACCAAAAATCAGTTATTCAATTTTAGTTCCAGCACGAGCACTGGAGGTTTAAAAAAAAAAAAAAGTTCTCTGTTATATTTTTTAAAAAAGACATTTTGGGCGCTTTCTGGGCCCGTCGGAATTCCACCCAGCCACAAAGCTCCGCACAAAGGCAGCATCTGTACGGCTGCACCTGCAGGGGTGCAGGGGGTGCGGGCTACGACCCGGCGGGGCTCCCGGGCCCGCACGCACCGGCGCTCAGGCCTGGCGAGTGCGCGGCCGAGGCTTCAGCTGCCGCTGGCGCCGCTTGCGCTGCCCATTGAGGAGCTTCTGGGTGATCTTGCGCTCGTGGCCGGCCGGCAGCAGCCGGTTGCTGCGCAGCTGCTGCTCTCGCCGCGTCCGGCCCTTGCTGCGTCCAGCCCCACGGGCCGGGAAATCGCGCAGGTAGTAGTAGTCGAGGCAGTCGTAAGGCTCCTCCTCGTAGCTGGCCGGCGGCTGCCGGGCCCGAGCCTGGGCTCGGAGAAGTGCCGGCTCGGTGCCCAGAGCCATCCTGCCCGGCAGCCTGGCAGCCCCACGCGCCCGCGCGGTCCCGGAAGCCGGGAAGCTCCGCCCCTCGCTCCGATTGGATGCACTGAAGGGGCGGGGCCACGGCTGACGTCACAGAGCGCTGGCCCAGCCTCCCGCGACCCGGAGCGGCGACTCCTGAACTCTGGCCAGGAGCTGTTCAGAGGAGGCCGGAAGGGGGCCATTGACAAACCCCGACTCCGCATTCTACTTATGTCCGTCCAAAATGGAAAACTATCGGAGTATCCGACAGGGAGGGATTCCTTAGTGAAAAGAAGGTGCTGTGTTTTCCTGCGGAGAAGTTGTAGCCGCCAACAAACATTGTTAGGCTATTTCCTGACGTGAGCAAGTGCTCCACAGTGATGTCAAGTCAACGTAATGATGTGTTTTTACAATCTATGTCCATGAAAGATTGAGAGCAAAGTTGTCAAACGCTACAAGAACCTGCGGTTGGCAGGGCCCGTGTGTCATTTTATATTTGCTCCTTCCCCCCTTAACACTGGATAGGAAGAGGAGCAGCCGGGACTAGAACCGGTGCCCTATGGGATGCCGGCGCGTCAGGCTAGGGCTTTAACCCGCTGCGCCGTAGCGTTGGCTCCAGGAATACGGTTTTCAGAGAGCAGTTTGAGATGGAAGACGCTGTCTGTGAGCGCCGCCCCGCTGCCGTGGTCCCGGAGCCCCGAGATGCCGAGTCTAAGTAATTCAGGCCGACGCGGGGGCAGGTGTGCTCCAGGGGGTCCGCAGAGGCGGAGCAATCCGGCCCGGTGACCCGAGCTCCAGACCGTCCCAGATCCGCCGGGCTGAGCCGCTGCAGCCCCAGGCTCCGCCAGGACTCCCAGGTCTCATTACCTAATTACCGCCCTGTGCGCGGCTCGCGGCTCTCGGGGGCGGTTGTGAAGCAGGCCTTGCTGCGGTCTGCTTTGACCAGCGCACAGAATGCGCGACCCACAAAAACCGCAGCTACTCCTTTGGGAATTTCCGTTCTTAGATTGAAAATCATGCTCCCTCCCCCCCTTAAGAACAAAAAGGAAACGAAAACATCTCAACTTAAAATTTTTCTTTGTCTTAACTATTTTCTCTTGCTGGGTTTCCATCTGTGACTGGGTTGGGACCTGAGTTATTTCTTGCGCACTCCGGGGTCGGATTCCTTGGAGGCGTGGCCTACATACCTCGCTGCCAGGGCAATTTTGTGGTTCCTTAAATGAAGGAGTCCCAGGGGAGTGTTTTTAATAAAACGCAGAAAGGGTTTTCGCTTCCATCCAGGTAGATCCATTAAATCTGTGTTGCCGAGAAAGAGAAATATTTGTTCTCCGTATCTTTCTCCTATACATGATCTCTTTCTTAAAAAAAAAAAACAAAACAAAAAAAAAAAAACTCTTAAAATTTGTTATGAAAATATTCAGGCATTCTCAAAATTGAAGAGAATAGAATAAGGAACTCTCATTTTCCATCACAAAGATTCAACAAGTACCAAGATCACAACACATTTGCTTTATTTCTTCTGCTGCATTATTTTTTTAAACGTACATTGTTACTATAAATTTATTTTTAAAGATTTGTTTATTTAATTGAAAGGCAGAGAGAGAGGTCTTCCATCTGCTGGTTCACTTCCAGATGGCTGCAATGGCCAGAGCTGCCCCAATCCCAAGCCAGGAGCCAGGAGACTCTTCTGGGTCTCCCACGTGGGTGCAGGGGCCCAAGCACTTGGGCCATCTTCCACTGCTTTCCCAGGCCATAGCAGAGAGCTGGATGGGAAGTGGAGCAGTCAGGACTCAAACCGGCGCCCACAGGGGATTCTGGCACTGCAGGTGGCAACTTCACCCACTGCAACACCACCAGCCCCTGCTGCATCATTTTACCCTGCAGTTATTGTGTCATTTCACCCCTTATGTGCCAGTATCCAAATCTACAGAAAAGTATGCCTGTTTCTTATATGACCATAATATCATTTTCACACCTGACAAAATCAGCCACTTTTTAAAAAAGATTTTATCAATTTATTTGAGAAGTAGAGTTACACACACAGAGAGGGAGAGACAGAGAGATCTTCCATCTGCTGGTTCACTCCCCAATGGCCACAAAGGCTGGAGCTGGGCCAAAGTGAACCCAGGAGCCAGGAGCCAGGATCCAAGAGCTTCTTGAAGCTCCTGGCTCCTGGCTTCAGATCGACATAGCTCTGATAGTTGTGGCCAATTGGGGAGTGAACCAGAGGATGGAAGACCTCTCTCTCTCTCTCTCTCTCTGTGTGTGTGTGTGTGTAACTCTGACTTTCAAATAAATAAATAAACAAATAAATCGTTTAAAGAAAAAAAATAGAGAAAAGGCAGAACAATGGCTCAATTCTTCCTTTTAAAGATGGGTTTCCAGGGGTTCTAATAGACTTAAGTGGTTTTTTTTTGGGGGGGGGGTTGAGAATCATTGTGAACTCAGGGATCTTTAAAAAATATAGTCAATGTCTTTCAATAGCATGCATATTTATTATTTTTTAAAAATATTAATTTTATTATTTATTTGAAAGAGTTACATGGAGGAGAGGCAGGAAGAGAGAGAGAGAGGTCTTCCATCCGCTGGTTCACTCCCCAACTGGCTGCAACGGCCAGAGCTGCATCGATCCAAAGCTAGAGCCAGGATTTTCTTCCGGGTCTCCCACGAGGGTACAGGAGCCCAAGGACTTGGGCCGTCTTCTACTGCTTTCCCAGGCCATAGCAGAGAGCTGGATTGGAAGTGGAGCAGCCGGGACTTGAACCGGCGTCCATATGGGATGCCAGCACTGCAGGCAGTGGTTTTACCTGCTACGCCACAGCGCTGGCCCCATGTGTATTTATTCTTTATTCTCAAATTGTCCAATCTTTGGCCAATGAAAGAGAATTCATATAGTCCTCTATTCTATTCTTTTGGTAGTCTTGGAGAATGTCCTTGCTTTATTGTGTACCACAATGTCCTCATCTTGAACTCAATGGCTCATCTTGAACTCTCAGGCCCTAAATCCAGAATAAGTCATTTTTTCAATGAGTCCTGGATCCTTTCTTTTTTTTTTTTTTTTTTTTTTTTTTTTTTTTTTTTTTTTTTTTTTTTGGACAGGCAGAGTGGACAGTGAGAGAGAGAGACAGAGAGAAAGGTCTTCCTCCAATGGCACCGCGGCCGGTGCGCTGCGGCCAGCGCACCGCACGGACCTGAAGGCAGGAGCCAGGTACTTATCCTGGTTTCCCATGGGGTGCAGGGCCCAAGGACTTGGGCCATCCTCCACTGCACTTCCCTGGCCACAGCAGAGAGCTGGCCTGGAAGAGGGGCAACCGGGACAGAATCCGGCGCCCTGACCGGGACTAGAACCCGGTGTGCCAGCGCCGCAAGGCGGAGTATTAGCCTAGTGAGCCGAGGCCCGGCCAGATCCTTTTAATATAGAAAATGATGGGGCCTGTGCTGTGGCATAGTAGGCTAAGCCTCCATCTGCCGGGGCCAGCATCCCATATGGGCACCGGTTTGTGTCTCGGCTGCTCCACTTCCAATCCAGCTCTCTGCTATGGCCTGAGAAAGCAGTGGAAGACGGCCCACGTGCTTGAACTTTTGCACCCTCATGGGAGATCTGGAATAAGTTCCTGGCTTCTGATTGGCTCGACTCCAGGTGTTGCAGCCATTTGGGGAGTGAACCAGCAGATGGAAGATCTCTCCGTCTCTCTCTCTCTGTAACTCTACCTCCCAAATAAATAAATACATCTTTTTTAAAATATGGAAAATAGTATTTAGACACAACAGACTCCTCGATAAGTATTTCATGTTCCTTGATCTTGTTGAATAAGATTTATGGGAGGGGCCGGCGCAAGTGGCTCACTTGGCTAATTCTCTGCCTGTGGTGCCGGAATCCCATATGGGTGCCAGATTCTAGTCCCGGTTGCCCCTCTTCTAGTCCAGCTCTCTGCTGTGGCCCGGGAAGGCAGTGGAGGATGGCCCAAGTAGTGGCCATTTGAGGGGTAAACCAACGGAAGGAAGACAAATAGAGTTAGACAGTGAGAGAGAGACAGAGAGAAAGGTCTTCCTTCCGTTGGTTTACCCCTCAAATGGCCACTACGGCCGGTGCTACGCCGATCCAAAGCCAGGAGCCAGGTGCTTCCTCCTGGTCTCCCAAGCGGGTGTAGGGGCCCAATATTGATCCAAAATGGAGTTCCTCATGCTAAACTTCCACACCATCAAGATGAAACTTTTGGCCTTTCAAGAAATTAGGAGATTTGTATGTGGCAGAGAGAAAGTGAGAAAGCAAGTGAGAGAGACAACTCAGTCCCCCAACAAGCTAGTTTAGCAAGCATGATAAAAAATTGTTCACTCTGCTTCAACCTTTACAAGACGTTTACTGACCATTCTGCTTATTGCTTTCTTCAACTCTTTTCTACCTGTAAAGTCAGCCTTCTCTGATCAACTTATTGGATCATTCATTCTGTTTTGTAGAATGAAGTTTGTCTGATTCTAGAATTACAAATAAAAGTCAATTTTATCTTGAACTTTGTTGTAATATTGTCTTCTGAAAATCTTTACAAGAACCCTATGAGATAGTCCTGCCCCAATTTTCCTGATGGAGAACCAGCAACAACTTCGCCAAGGTTGTATAAGAAATAGATTTGTGAAGTTAGAGATATGGCCTAGTAGGTCAAGCCTCCTGCTGCAATACCAGCATTCCATATAAGAGCTGGCTCAAGTCCCAGCTGCTCTGCTTCTAATCTAGCTCCCTACAAATGTGCCTGGGAAGGCAGCAGAAGATGGTCCAGGTGCTTGGACCTCTGCCACCCACATGGGAGACAAAGATGGAGTTCTGGGCTCCTTGTTTATGCCTGGCCCATCCCTGGTCCTTGCATCATTTGGGGAGTAAGCCAGCAGATGAAAGGTGTCTCTCTCTCTCTCTCTCTCTCTCCCTCCCTCATTCCCTCCCTCCAACTCTGCCTTTCAAATAAATAAATCTTAAGAAAAAGCAGAACCAGACTAAGATGGAGTTTACTGAACCCCAGGCAGTTCTTTCCTCCATTCTTTCCTCTGGTATGAGCGCCTCACTTTTCAGTTCACAGATGGATTGCCTCCTAGCTTCTGATACGACATTTAAAATGGTTGCCACCATCTGTCTTGATCTTGTGACAAGGACTCTATGAACTAATTCTGATTACATCATTAGAGTTAGATTTAAAAGTGGACTTTGGAAGTGATCATTTAGCTGGTGGTTAAGATGTCATGGGTTAAAACACCCATGACTCATATCTATCTGTACGCCTGGGTTTGACACCCAGCTTTGGCTCCTTGACTCCAGCTTCCTGCTAATTTATGTGGAGGACAGCAGTGATGGCTCAAGTAATTGGGCTCCTGTCACCAATGTGGGAAGCTTAGTTTGAGTACCCAGCTCCTAGCTTTGGCCTGGCCAAGTCTTTCTGCCCTTGAGGGTAATTAGAGAGTGAATCAACAAGTGGAAATTTGCTCTCTCTCTCTCCCCCTTCTCTGTTTCTCTGCCTCTCAATTTTTAAAAAGATTTATTTATATGAAAGAGTTATGGGGTGGAAGGAGAGGTGGAGAGAGAGAGAGATAGATCAATTTTCCATCTGCTGGTTCATTCCCCAAATGACTGGTGCTGGGCCAGTCTGAAGTCAAGATCCAGTAACCCCATCCAGAGCTCCTGTGTGGGTGCCAGGGGCTCAAGTACCTAAACCTTCATCTGCTGCTTTCCCTGGCACATTAGCAGGGAACTGGATCAGAAGTAGAGCAGCCAGGACTCAAATTGATGCTCAAATTGGATGATGGTAGCTTAACCCACTGTACCACAATACTGGCTTTAAAAAAAAAAGACTTATTTATTTAGTTTGAAAGAGTTACAGAGAGGGAGAGAGAGAGAGAGAGCGCGCGCGAGAGAGTGCTTCCATCCACTGGTTCTCTCCTCACATGGCTGTAATGGTCAGAGTGGGGCCAGGCCAAAGCAAGGAGCCTAGAGCTTCATCTGGGTCATCAATGTGGGTGGCAGGGACCCAAGCACTTGGGCCATCCTCCACTGCTTTTCCCAGGCTATTAGCAGGGAGGTAGATCAGAAGCAGAATAGCCAGGATGCCAGCCAGTGCCCATATAGGAGTGCTGGCATCACAGGTGGTGGCTTTATCCACTATGCCACAGTGCCAGCCCCTCAGATAATCTCAGATAATGGACTTTATATCTTGTTTAGTGGTTTGATTCCAGACCTAGAGGGAGAAAAGCAACAACTATGCCTCAGTAGCAGACTTTAATTCCTTACAAAAGTATATGCATACACACAGTTTTAGAAGTTCTGCCTTTCTCATTAATTCTCTCTTTTTAAAATAAAGGTTCATTTATTTATTTG